TTAATTTAATTGGTAATATAAATTAAATATTGCACTACAAGTATCAAACTAAAGAGGTTTAGGAAAGTTTACTGGCAAACATTTTTTAGAGGAGGGTTGCCACTTGTTTGAAAATGTTTGTTCAATTAAGTTGATAAAATAAATTAGATATTACAACACGGATATTAAATTAAAGAGGTTTAAGCAAGTTTACTGTCTGAAATATTTTTGAAGTGGTTTGCCACCTATTTGAAAAATTTAATTCAGTTAAATTGACAAGGAAAGGTAAATATTGAATTAGTACATCTTTGAAGAAAGTGAGCAATATGTAGACTCGAGTTATAAGATTATAAATTAACTTCCCAAGAAAAAGTCGATACTTTACCTACTTTCTAAATATGTACGAGGTTTGTGAGGGTGTAACCATACAAAAATACTTTTAAGGCGATATTTAAGCTGCTTAAAACATGCACTTTATTATACTAAAATTCCACAGGCTATAAACTGCATACCCCAAAAATTCAAATTAAAAAGTTAAAATATTTTATTAAAATACTTTTATAAAAAATAAAGCCAGAAATTTAACTTTAAAAACCTTGCAAGTATTTAACAAAAATCACCATGCAGCACCATCCACATGTATGTATTTATGTGCCTCTTATTTCGACTTTTTGTGCCCAGAGTACACATACACTTGCGCATACTTATGTGCAATATAACACATCGATTTGCCATTTGCATGCAATCGTATGCAGACTTCGTTTCATATGCAATTTCGTGTTAGTCCAAATAGCAGCAACTAAGTACGTTGCGCTTGACTAGAGATGGGCCAAAAATTTGCAATTGTAAAGAGATTGCTCATTTTCATTACACAATTGCAGTTAATTTCCATTGCAGCATTACCTGTTCGTTTAGTAGCAGTCACTAGCTTCTGTATTGATGCAGTTGTTCAGCATCAGCACAATGTGGCCAACAAATGGTGCATTTTACTCATGTGTACAACATATGATATAAGGCAATATTTGATGCTGACGTTGAAGTTGACAATACCATAACAGGATGTCACATTGTCACATACTATGTACAATGCTCTTTTACCGACCGTACATATGTATGTATCACAAATGTAGCATGGGTAAATACACCTTCCTGTAGCATTTTCCAAAAAAAAAGCGAAAATCGATGCCGACAGCACTGGCTCTTTGGTTGCCAACAGCGGTACCAATTCATAGGCAGGTCGCGTGAGCCCAATGCATGCATAATTGTTTCACAATGCAACAAATGCAGCAAAGCGGTAACAAAGCAATGGCAGCAGCAACGGTAACAGCAGTCAGTCCAAGCAATTTGCATATAGCAAAACTGTACTCGTATTCCTTCCGGCCCTTTTCATATTTTAACTATTCCGTCTGTCGCTCGTAGTGGTTGCTGCTGCTCATGTTGCATGTAAATATGTATGTACCCGTATATGGTACTGCCTGCCTGTCGGCATTTGTCTTCTCCGGGGAAATCAGAAAATCATGTACGGATAGTCGAGTCGCATCGAGTCGAGTGCTCTACGCTTGTCTCGTTGAGTAAACTGCAAATGAAATGGAGGCCATTCTGCTCGCTTTGGCGGTTGGCTGTACATAATTGACTAACTGCATATTTTTTTGTATAAAGGGTAAAAGAGAAAAGAGAGAGAGAGAGGGTGTGCTCTTAGCGTAGCAGGTGACCATATTAATGTTTTTTTGTTTTTGTTAAGTAAATATAAATATTATTTTCGTGGCGTTCGAAATTGTTCATAAAAATTGCAATCCCTATTAATCATTTGTGCATAGGTGGTATTTTTTGCAAGCACTGTGAACAAATTTGTGGAGTGTAGAACAGCGCAGAGGGTTTTTTATACTTTTTTTTGCAACACAGATGTCTGATTTGTTTGAAGTACATAATTTTGTATTTATATCATAAAATATTAACTAAATTCAGTTCTTGACTAGAGTTTATCTTACGTGGAGGAGTTAGTCTGAATCATGAAGAAAGTGTAGTAAATTTTAAACTTTTTAGGTTGTTTATGTTAGCCATAAAGTATAAACAGAATCAAATCGCCCAGCGAATTTCGTCGGAGGAGAGTTCGCTGGTAAAATTAACACACTTATTCCGTATCAAGAACGATAGGCTACACGAACGATTCGTCTGCAGAGGAATGGTTTCAAATATGGTTCGGCGGCATCATTCTTGCCGTTTTAAACGCAACCGAGGCCATTGCAACGTAATATATGAAAAGCAAGACGAAGACAACCGATAGAGTAATAAAATCAGTGATCAGTGATTTTAAATCACAATCAGAGATGTTGTCGTCGGCAGACGAATCGTTCGTGTTGATTATCGTTTGTGATACAGAATAAGGCTGTAAAAACACTACAAAAATTTTACAAAAAAATGCGTTTAAGAAAAACTTCGACGAAGAGAGACGCGTAATCATAGATTTATACTTGGCCATGCGCATGCGCTCTCCATTAGCTGAACTTTAGTGACCGCGTGCCCTCTTACGAGGCGCGTTGCCACCTTTTGCATCTAAAATCTTTGCATAAATAGTGGAAGTGCTTACCTTTCCGGTAATTTTCTCGTCAATGGTTTGATAGGTGCAATTGATCCCTCTTAGAAAGAGTATCTCTCAATGTGTCTTTACACAGCCTTCGGCGCGATCCACTATTCTATTTAGGATTTTCGAAATCTAAGAATATATATATTAAAGATGGTACCTTATCCTTCCAATACAAGGAGTTACCACGGAACAATCCGTACTTTACTTTACAATCACTTCAACTAGTATTTAAGCTGTTTGGCTATAGTCGGTAAGAATTGTTATTCATTTGACTTAATTTAATTGAATAAATATAAATAAGTAAATATTGTTATTGTACATTTCACTATATTTCAACATAATATCCCAGTGGGAAAATGGAATGTATAGTTATCAAAAAAAAAATAATAATCAGTAAAACAGCCCTTTTCACAATCGAAAATGCCCACAGTGGGGCGATGTCCTAGGTAAAATGGGGCATTCATTTTTGCATTACCTAGTAACGAGGAATGAATGTTAATTAATATGAATATTTTTGGGACTTTTTGATTACATTAGAATGCTGATTACATAGCTAACAGTAATGGAATCAAGAACTTATAAGAAACGAATTACATTATTTATCACGCATGTTATGCATTACTACTTTTCCCACTGCGATGTACTATCTTTCACGAACCCCATATTTCACTGTCATAGTAAAATCAAATTATATTTGCTTAATACGATTCTCTTTCAAAAAGTGTGCAATTTCCGCAAATTCAATCCTAGCTGTAATCGGTTAATATGCAAAACTTTAAACTAGTAATTTTCCAGCAGGGTGCTCATAATATTTGTTGTTGTGTTATATATGTATGTATGTACGTACTTTTGCTGGTATCACTGTAAACATGCAACTTTTGTATTTCATTTTATTGTTGTTATTGTTAACCTCAGCTGTCATGGGCGTTGATGGTGCATATTGTTAGACATGGCCCAAAAAATGGCCTTACGACTTTTCGGGGTCATTTGGCATGCGATAAATTTCGAAAATTAATGTCAAATGAACAGTGTAACAAGAGTGTGCGAAGTGCGGAAAGTATGAGGAGTTAAAAAGGCGATGAACTAGCATAGAAGGGCAGGTATAAATAATGAAAAAGCGATTGCGGTCACCGGCAGAACGAAAGTACATACATGATGATGAGCCTAATAAAAAACAAGATGAAGCGTTACAACATGAGTAATCTGGGCGAGCATGAGGCCAAATTTTTTTTTTATAAAATAGGCAATCTAAGGGCGAATGTAGAATGAAAGGTTGACCAGCAAACAAAGTGGAACACTGCGGCTGCTGTGTCAACTAATCACCTACAATGTGGGCGACCACAGCTTAGCACAAAAGCTATATGTATATACAGTGGTGGGCAAAAATTGATGAATGGTATTTCGTTTTTAAAATATACAATAGTTTTCAGGCTAATTTTTTTTTTTGATATTTTTTATAAATATGTAGTTCATGCTTTAACAAAAACTATATAAATCAATTTTTCAAAACTCCAAATTTCGAGTTTTTAGCCAGAATTTTTTTAAATTTTTTGGGTATGCAGTTAACACGCTTATAAAATTCTAGTCAAATAAGTATAAGTTTTGAGCGCCTGAAAAATCGCATAGAATTTTAATCATTTTTTTTTTGACATCGTTTTGCACTTTTTCCATATAATAAATGAATTTCTTCTGGAAGAATATGCGGAAGACCATTTGTGGAAAAAATTAAAAAAACTCAAAGCCTGTTTTCCTAAATTTCGCTATTTTAAAAATCAATGCAGCTTTTTAGCCGCTCAAACTTGTAGCCAAAAAAATTCTAAAAACTCGTGGTTAAAAAGCTCGAAATTTAGATAAAAATTTGTGAAAGTTTACTAAATTCTGTATAAAGTTTGATGGCGTGATTTATATAGTTTTTGTTAAAGTATTAACTATGTTTTTATAAAAAAATATCAAAAGAATTTTAGCATGAAGAACATTGTAAATATTTATTAAAAACGAAACACCATTCATCCATTTTTGACCGCCACTGTAACCACTTGGAAATATATTTGCATGTAACAGCCAACTATGATAGAAAGTAGCTTGAAAGGATTCTCGTTTTATGTGCATGCAGACACTTGCATGCTACACCAACACATATGTACCGACATACACCTACATTGTTGCATGCTCCACGTACACTTTACAATATCTCGGCTCTTTGTTGCTGCTGCTGACTAATACCCAAAAGTAGAAGTCAGCTCAGCTACTGGCAATTTGCCGCTACTTTAGCCGATAACTGCCTGTCTGCCTTGCTACCAAAAAAAAAAAAAAAAAAAAACATTACACGCTCACTATGTTAATCCGATTTTCTATTTTGCTTTCTCTTTCTATTCCCCAACTTCAACCAACACATGTCATCACCGCCACCACCACATCACCATATTCGCCACCGCAGCACTTGTGGTCTTTACAGAAATTCGGCAATTCAAGAGGACATCACATGCTATTCGACAAGGGTCTACAATTCGGCATCGATTTGGAAAATTTCGAACAGGACGAACCGGCGCGACCACAAATCGACACTAAAGATGTACTAGCGTTCACATCAACAGCTGCAGCATCATCAGAACCGTTGGCTAGATCATCGCTTACAGCCGTGGTAGACATGAATGGCAGCAACAATGAGTGGCACGCACAGGTAGCAACAGACCGTATAAGCGCCATCATCAGCACAACTACAGCAGCAACAACAACAACATTTGGCAAGGCAACACATGAGGCCGACTCACCACATTCACCGCATGCCAGATGGCAGAAGCAGGGTGGCGAGGCCGAGGCCACAGCGGCACCCGGTAATCATGTCACGTACGAATGGCGCATCAGTGACTGGTCCGAATGTTCGGAGAAGTGTGGCATTGCGGGCGGCGCAGGTTTGCGGGTAAGTGTTGCACATTTTTATTTCAATAGGTTGCTGTAGGTTGGAACATTGAAAACTGGCCTAGGTGGTGCACAGTGGGACGACGGACAAGTATTAAATGTCAAATTTTTTCAGACGAAATTTCGTTGAAACGAATGAAAATCGTTAAAAATTTTCTTCCTAGATGTAAAAAAGTTACATTTGTAAAAAATTAAATTGATTTTTATTCCTACTTGCATGGCTTCGCATTTTTCTGATGCCGTCTACCGAATGACTACAATATAATCTATTAAAACTCTTTTGTGGCGTTGCGTTTTTTCGTCTGTTCCTGATATCATCCGCCGAAGAGCAATTAGTTTCTCAAAAGTATTTTATGAGCCTTTGATTGTTTGATAAAATAAATATTTCGATGCCCACTAAAAAAATAACCGTAGTGCTACAAAAATTAGAAGAAAATTAACCGATTTTTTGATCAAGTCTAAGGGCTAAGTGTTCTGTTTTAGAAAAAAGAGATAAAATTAAATATCACGAAAATGAAAAGAGATGGCGAAATAAATGTAACGATGATTTACAACTTTTGAAATTGAGAATTCAGCAAAATTCAGTCTCGTTGGGTAGAAGAATTGCCCTGACATTTAATATTACCTTCAAAAGTAGGTTGCACTTTTTAAAAAGTTATAAAACATTTTTTTGCTGTCTTCTAGGGAACCACTTCCATGGCCGCGAAAAAAGAATGTGTAAGTTCATTGCATGTTTTTAGGTCAAAAAAGAAAAAAAAAATTCAAAAATTTTAAAGAACGACGGTTTTGAAGCCAAGCTTATTTTTCATTCAATCAGATCTTTAGAATGACCTTCAAAAGTAAAGTTTTAAGTTTTTTTTTACAAATTCATCCATATCCAATTCGTTGTGGATAAATTAAACGATGTCATTGTCTTTCTACCCGCGTTCATTAATGATATATAGATTTATGTATGTTTTTATCGAAACCTTTCTCGGTATATTTATCAAAATCTTTACATATTTGGCACGAAATTCGTTGTCAATATATTTATCGAAATTTTTACAGCTATTTATATCGATATATATATCGAAATCATTTATGGTAATTGATGTATTTTACAACTTTCGAAATCATCGATAACTATGTCGTAGCGTCATCTACATTTGCCATTCTTACTAGTACATTATCGAAATAATTATTGATATCTTTTTTGTAATCGTTAATAATTTTTTTAGATTATTTAAAAAAAAATGCATCTGACTCGTAACCGTAACCGTTTTCGTCCACTTTTTATTCGGGCTATCGATATATTTATATAAATTTGTATCGATATATTTGTCTACAGTGCTTTCGATATATATAAAAATCAGTATTGATATCTTTCTCGATACATTTATAGATTTTCGATATGATTATGGATAAACTCAGAACCGACCTCGTTTTTTTTTTATTCGGTAGACTTCAGACAACAGAATGGCGATACGGTCATCTTTAACGTAGCTCTGGTCTTCTTTTCCATAAGCTATATGTTTGGAGATCACATCAATTACTTTTATCGCTTTTTACGAATTCAGCCCCAATGTGCACTGTGCTTGCCTGCCAAGGAGCCCAACAAGTTGACGTTTGTATTGGCTTACCAATTGTCGCAATATCAGTCTTATGGAGTGTCCATCATTTTTGTCACGTTCAACTGAATTGCATTCGTTGCATTTCCCGCTCGCCGAGTCAGCATATTTTTCTTGTTGAACTATGCAGCTGCATTCGGCCTACATGGCGTATGAGTAACCAGTTTGTTATTTGTACAGCAATAAATCCATCGATTAGCCTTACAAATTTTCCATGCTGCATACAAATATTTGATTTAATCCAACAATTTTGGTTTATGATATCTTTCTCGTTTGTACTCCACAGCGTCGCTCAATCACTTGTGTACGTTTACGCCATCACACGCCCACCAACAACGCTTTGGAGTCGCATGTCGAGGCCGACATCGAGGTGGTTGACAACGCGTACTGCGCCGATTATGGCCTGAGCATTCCTGACACGTTCGAAGTGTGCGGCCAGGAGGAGTGTGCCCGTTGGCAGGCTGGCGAGTGGACATTGTGTCAGCGTGCACGTTGCTTCGGTCGCAATACAGCCATACAAAAGCGTGAAGTCAAGTGTCGCTATGCGAATGGCACAGAGGCAACGGACGCCTGCAGTGTGTCACAGCGTCCCATTAGTCGACAGGAGTGCTATAGTGAACGTTGTAAGGGTGTTTGGCGTGTGGAGCCATGGTCGGAGGTAAGTAACACAGTGCATAGCATCGCATCCAATGCGGTTACATTGTCCGTTTTCACTTGAATTTAATTCTATTTACTTATGTATGTATATCGCTTCTTTTTTTCGTCACAATGTTGCAGTGTAATGCGCAATGCGGTCGCCAGGGAATTAAATACCGCATTTTACAGTGTGTTTGGTATGGCACACGACGACCGGCGGGCAATGCGTGTCGCCATCAGCCGCGTCCTGCGGTAATGAAAGTGTGCAAGAGTCCGCCCTGCTATACGAAGTGTGAGTAACAATTTTCACTTTTTAATCGTTTTTTGAAACTGAAAGTAAATGAATTATTGAGTTAACATTTTTAACTACGAACGTTATGTTATCAATTTAGGGAATCTAACGCACCTTTCGAGCTATAGAAAGGTTGGCTTCTGACAGTGAGATTAAGAACAGTTAGGCATTATAAAATAAGTCTAGTTTGATAGACTACAGCAATTGTCTAGGCGTGTTACTTCTTCACTTGTATATCACCACAGTGTCTCGAGCCATAATGTCATAGAGGTAAATAATATATTGGATAGATTTACCAGAAAGGTAGCGGGGACAATACCCCAAGTTTTTGAGGCCTTCTTTATTTGTAGTAGGAAGGACCACATACTAACAGATTAGAGCTCAGGCACAGTAAAATATTGATCAAAGCGAAAAAATTAAATGGTAAAAGATATGGGTAATTACTTGAACAGGTACGGAAATTAGTGCGATTCTTTGAACTACGCGTAAACGCTCACTTAGCAAACTCGACATATTTACGGACGATTCGCACCGTTTTCTTGAAATTATTGATAGCTTGCGATTCGAATCGAACTACCTTAGTAATGCACAGAACCGAGGAGCCGACCGAGACCGCGTCATTTAGAGAACCTACAAAAGCGTCTAACGGAACCGAAACTCGATTCCAAAAGAGCCGTAAAGCGGTTCCAGCAGAACCGAAACTCGATTCCAAAAGACTCGAAAAACGGTTGAGCAAGAGTCGAAAAGTGGTCTCAGAAGCACCGAAAAAATAACCGAAATCCCATGCTGATTTTGACTACACATGTATTTGATTTACCACTTTGTGCCACAGAAGCTCTTAAGGATATTTCCTTCAAAATGTAGAAGTACTTTTCGTATAAGATATTAATTAAGATTCGGCCGTTGCAGTAACGGAGTAAGTTATACGTGCGTATTTTCACTCACCACGGCCCGGGCTTCTAGTTATGCTTAGTCCAAGCAAGAATGGTAGGCAATGACATACATATCTCTGAACGGTTTTCTGCCACAAAAAAGCATTTCATAAAGAAAGTCAACTGTCGTTACTCCACAAGGAGTAAGGTCAAACACAAAGCAACAAATATTAATTTCCTTTTTTTTTTTAAAGGTCTGTAAAATTCCACTTATGCTTGAGTTATAGTATACAATTTCCGACGAACTTTTGTATATAAAATGCAAGGTGAAAGTCAGACTCTTTTTGTATACTCGTAAATTCATTTCTATTTAATTTCTATTCTTCAGCTTTTGATCAATGCAAGGACACTTCACGATATTGCCGCAATGTACGCTCGATGGGTTTATGTCGATTACATCGTTACCAAGAGAAATGTTGTAAATCTTGCAAATTCAATGCTTACTACAATTAACGACAACTCTATTATTGGAAAAAGCTGTAAGCGATAAAGTTTGCGGCTATGGCTGTGTGTGAGGTAGAGATCGGTAAAAAAAAAGAGAACTCGTTGGTGTAGTAGCAAAGCTAAAGCATCAGGAGTTACAAAAACAAACTCACACAACACCACAAAAAAATATAAAAATGAAATAAAAATAAGTCAGCAGCATTCATCGCGAAAATCACGAAAGAGGAAGGAAACGAGTCAGCGTTCGACCACTACAACTACCACAAAACACAAAACACAAAAGTAAGATAAAGTAATCATAATAAATAGTGATAGGATTAAAGGAGACTTCATAGCGATTCGTAAAACCGAAGAGGGGGTCATTAATTAAAAAAAAATACGAAAACCTTGTATGCAAACCAAAAACTAATTGAAGCGAATGGTTTGGCAGCAATGGCAGACAAGCAAATTACTACAAAATAATCTATTTATTATAAATAGCAATAAATAAATTGAATGCATACAGAGCGCGCAACTAAATAAATGAAAGCCAATTCAAATGAAACTAACTAAGGACACTTTATATGAATATACAAAATAAAACAAAAACATATTTACATAAGTGCATAAATACCTTAGTAATAACAACAATAAAACAGCAGAACAAAAACGAACAAATGAACGTAGTGAAAGAGCAAATAACGCAGCGTAAATAGGCGAGCAGGCAAGACAACAAAAGACCACATATACACATACACAAAAAGGCATCTCATACATACTACACGCATAACAACAAAGAATGCATATATAACTACATAATAGAAAAAATTCTATACAAAAAGTGAAAAGCAAATAAATGAGATGAATGCACTTTAAATTAAATATACAGTTATATACTATATGTATTAATGTCAACATATACGGTGGCAGGCCACCAAATAGGGGCGCGACATTTTAACAAGGTTTGTCTGCTTTTTTCTTTTTATTTAATTTTAATTGCTTTTTGGTAAAAGTATAGCTCTCTATATAACAAAAATCAAGTTAATAATTCAAAATTTGAAAATTGTAGAAGATTTCCAACTTTTTATACAGATTAAAAATAAAAAAAATTCTGGGTAGGCAGTTTTGTAACCCATTTTAGTAGAAGTACCATGTTTGACCGAGCTTTGCATATACTTTTAAAGCTTTCGAGTTTTGGGTATCAAATATTGGCCATTTGGATAGGTTTAAAAAGTATATTTTGGATATAAATTCAAAAAAAATTTGGCCTCCGATATCTTACAAAGTAAGTAAATTTCCTACATTGAAAATTAGGTGGAAACCCTATTTAGAAATACGCTGGGAGTAAGAGTCCATATCTGGAGCGTATATGTACTGTGTATACATACAAAAAACACTCACTGAAATTAATTATACTCAAATTTGTATTACAAAAACTAAATGTGGCAACACTGATCAAAAATAATTTCGGACTAAAGTGCTCAAAACTATCCCTCATTTTATATCAATATTGCGGTGTTTTAGTTAAATTTTGTAGAATCGTAAGTAAGTGGCAACCTTACACTAATATCCCAAGGGATAACACTTAGTTAGAATTGTTTAAGAACATTTTTTAAGTATCCGTAAATAGTAAAATTTCACCATTATTTTCTAAACAACAAATTAAATAAATATACAATTGAAAATAGGTGGCAAACCTGTTCAAAAATATTTCCGATTTGCGTTTTTTTTAAATAATTTCCATTTTTATGGGTACATATATGATGGTTTATTTAATTTGTAACTAATTTCAAATAGGTGGCAACCCTATACGAGTATTCAAAATCGTTACAGCCGTTTCCGAGAGAGCTATGGATATATTCATACACGCATGCATACATACATACATATGTATGTATTAGACTGGGTCGATTTTGTATGGGGGGAAAATAAAAGGCATTTGACCGTATTGTAATAGTAATATTATGATGTCTTAGGTCTAAGCCAATTGTTATTGGCCACGAACGACAAATTTACAACTTATCTTTAGCCCGCGCAATTGAATCAAAGTGTGTGAATTTTGAAAATGAAACTTTGGCTTGTAATATTTATGGAATGCGTTAATTGTTATAAACAAGACGATATATCAAATTAAGGGTTATTAAATTTAGTATCTTACGTACATTTATCATTTTTCAATAAGTCTACAAGTTTTTAAGTAATTAAGATAAAAATAACAAACACTATAATTTTCTCTTATGAAATTTCAATTCTTCATTACTTCAGCAACCAAGTGAAAAATAAAAAAAAAGTGAGATGGACGATATTGCTTTGCATTCAGCTTGAACGAAAAAAGTCACTCCCTGGCACACTTTTCTGTAATCCGGTTCTTTTATTGAAAAGTTATTTATCCAATTGAAAAGAATTGTTAAAAAAAAAACTGGAGATTCACTTAAGTTTTTCGATATAACTTTGGTAAATGTTACTCGACCGGTACGTAGTAATTACCAAATTGAAGGCGAGACTTACTGTTACTGATTTATGATAATAATATGATGAAAATCGTTCAGATTATAAACTAATTGTTAAAAAAAAAAATAAAAAATTAACAAAATTTTTTGTAATTTTCCTATATTTGCAATTTTTATATTGTACGCATAAACATAAATAAACTAATTAGTGTTTCTAGAAGTTGGGCCTGTTCAATGTTTCCATACTCATTTGCATAAACAAAATTTTTCCACGATGATGGAAAATAATGGCTTTTCTATTAGAACTACCGAAATTGTTCCTAAATTTGCAAAAGTTCGCAAACTATAGCTAATATTAAAAAAGATTAGAGTATTTGGAACCAGCTAGAAATGATATTTGAGTTTATATTTTGCGTTAACGGATTCATTGTCTAATAATATGCACCAACCCTTTTTGCTGAACCCAGAATTTTCAACATGAATTGGTCTTATTCGACTAGTTTGCTGTGGGTCACTTGGCGGTAGATGCGCGGGCTCTTACAATTAAAATAAAATACTAATATTTTGCAAGCTTGTTTTTGACTTCATGACACAATATATTTTCACTATTACCAAGGGATTTGAGAAAAATTAGATTTTCGATCCGCCCTAGTATGTATGTATGTATATATTTATACGACAAAATGCAAGTTTAAAGTTTGCTAGGACTTACCGTTAATTTTTGACATTTTTGCTTTGCTAACGGTGTGTGCATTTTCCTCCATATAAAACAAATTGTCAAATATGCTTTACATGGAAGCAAAAAAAATGTCAAATCTCATTGGTAGCTAGTTAAAACTTGCAATTTTTTTACAAAAATTGAATGGGCCACAAAACTACATACCAAATTTTGTTTCGAAAAATCCTGATTAAAAAGTTGGAAACTTTGTCGAATTTTCCCAATTTTTAACAAAAGTTTGCAATTCGGACTTGTATGGTTTTTGTTAAATAGTGAGCTTTATTTTCATAAAAAAGGTAATAAACATTAAATCAAACAAAACAAAACTTTTTAAAATAAATACATATCGCGTGCCTATTTGTTTGCGCGCCACTGTATGCACGCATGCACTGGTAAATGCGTGAATACGAATTGTTTGTGCATTCTTATGTAAATATAATTATTTATACGAAGAAAAATTGCGCATACTTTAGCTTATTTTAAGTGAAAGTAACTTTAAAAAGTAATAATACTTAAGTGTATATTATTTTTTAAGTTTTTTTAAGTTCGTTGGAGCAAAAGTTCCACAAGGCGAAAGTGAATGAAATCGATATTAATTTTTGATCCTTTCACTTAAGGAATATGTATGTATGTACTTTGATTTTCTAAATTGAGAAATTATTAATCAAAAAAATGGAATTACATAACAGCATTCAATGAAAATTGAAAGTAACCGCAGGACAAAATACATTTTCCTTTTTTATATATTTGTGTATGTATAGACATACATATATTTTTATGTACATATGTATATACATATATGGGTCGTTCAATACCAAAACGGACGGGATTCACACTTCATGTGTTCGATTTGTTTCAAATTTTTAGGGTTAATGCGTAAACATAAATAATAAATAAATATGAAATTTCAGCTCAATTAATACATTTTTCAAAACTTTACAGCACCAAACCAAAAAACAAAACAACAAAAAAATCGATTTAATAGTTTTCCAAATATCTCGAGAACGGGGCGAGGATAGAATTTGAAAAAAATTACACATACACACATCAAAATTCTCTATGAAAAGAAATGTTTAAAAAGAAAAAAAAATCTTGAAAAATTTTTCACATACTCATTTTTTTATATAAAAAAATTAGTTTTTGAAAAGATGCTGTCTCAAAAAAAATATTAAAAAAAATCACAATGGTAGCTCTGAGTATTGCGCAATATTTAAGTATAGCATTATGGCGTGCACTCTACAATAATTTGAGTTATGATTTAAGTAGTTTACAAACATACTAATTTATTTAATTTTTTTTAGAATTTTTATGATCATGCAGTTTGTAGCCCATTAAATTTTAGTGCAAGTTTCAAGCTACTGCAAAATTGCGTTGATTTTTAATATTTTTTATGCGGACGGCTTTTTGCATTTTTTTCTTATGGAACAAAATTCGCAAAACCGTTTTGCAATCTCTTAAAACTTGCACTTAATTTTACTAAAATTTACAAAACAAAACTACAAAACTGCATACTCAAAAAAATTCTAACAAAAAAATTTTTTTATTTGTAATGTACTCATTTTACTCAACTTTGGCGTAACAAAACATTCATAACTGAAACTATTCTTGAGTGCACCCCATATTGCGCAATACTCAGAGCTACGATTGTGATTTTTTAAATTTTTTTTTGATATGGCATATTTTCAAAAACTAATTTTTCAAGAAAAAAATTTTTTTAATATATCTTTTCATAGAGAATTTTGATGTGTGGTATTTTTTTTCCTCGTCCCGTTCTTGAGATATTTTGAAAACTATTAAATCGATAATCGATAAATAAATGTTTATTTATGCTTATGCATCAACCCTAAAAATTTTAAACAAATCAAACACATGAGGTGTGAACCCCATCCGTTTTGGTATGGAACGCCCCATATATAGGTACGTAAAAGCTATGCACTTCAAGTATTAGATACATATGTATGTATATTATTTAAATTATGTATTTAATCGGAAAACCTTTTCAAGCTCAACGAATTAAAAGTTAGATAATACAAACTACCAGGTAGTCATAAATAAATAAATAAGCTTATTTGTATGTATCGAGCCCTAACCGCCAAAATAACGTAAGCGACAATTTTTTCAAAATTTTCTTTTTGATGCAGAAATGTATCTAGATGCTCTAGGAATATTTCTTCATCAAAAAGGAAATTTGGAAAAAAATGTCGCTTACGTTATTTTGGCGGTTAGGGCTCGGTATGTTTGTATGTATATAGCTACTAAAAAGTTATTGTTTTAATAAATGATTAAATAAGTATATATGTATGTATTTGTATGTATGTATGTACATAAGTACTACACAAAAGCAAGTGTGTACTCACTCTAGAACAATGCATGATAATGAAATATGCAAACAATACACAGAAATACTGCAGACACAAAGTAACAATACTTGAATTAAAATTAAACAAAAAATGCATTAAAATTTTAATGCATATATGTATGTATGTTTGTAGGTAGCTACTTATTAGTAGGAGTGTGTGAAAAGTGTGAGAAAAACATAAAAAAAAACTTCAAAAAATCGCAAAATAAGAAAATATGTAATATGTAATAATAATAAAATGTGAAACAATTAACTGTGTAGGTATGTATGTATGCATCTAAGTGGTGCTTTTGTACTGCTCAAAGGATTTGCATAACAACCGGACTGCGTAATGTAAAACAACAGACGGAAATGTGCAACGAAAACAGCCGAATGTAAAAAAAAATGCAACTGAAAAAATGAAATTCAAAAAATTCCCAGAAAAGACGTTAAAGCATAATTGCAATTAGTTGCATAAATATATGTTTGTATGTATGCAAGTACATATTAGGCCGGTCCAAAAATGAACGTGAAAAAGTATAGTCGGAATTTTAATGCCGCCACCAGCGACCGTAACAGTTACAATCTTTATTAAAAAAATCGCTCTTTAATAATTATTATTTTTTTACTTTTATTTAATTACTCCTTAAATAACCGATATTTCTGACTTTTACTTTATAAATCCAAAATAGCAATTATTTTTTGACTTTTATCTAAATAATTGCAAATAACAGTTATTTTTGATTTTTAAATTATATATCTCAGATAACAATTTCTCAGTCACTGTCCCTTATTTTTTAAACCAGTCGCAGTAACTTTTCTTTCCCAACACTTTTTTTTTTAACTGCTAAAAATGTTAATGACTTTTATACGAATGATTTAAAAAATAAAAGTCGGTGACTGATTTATATTGATGACTTTTAAAAGTAAAAGTCACTGACTGATTTTTATCGATGACTTTCATAAGTAAAAGAATTGTTATTTTTTTAATTTTGCAAATAAAAATTTGTTTTCAAATTTGGGTATCGGTGAAAAAAGAAATCGATTGGTATGTATCACTTAGTTGTAGAACATTTCCCTCATGGTGACAGTTTTCATCAATAACTGTTATGTTCGGTCTTTGGCCGCCATTAAAATGCCGACTTTACTTTAATGTGGACCATCCTAATGTACATATGAACGTGTGCTTCTATATAAACATGCATGCTTATAACGATCAAATGAGTGCAGTTAAACGTAATTAAGTAATTTAATTAAAATGAAATGAAAACGGCTTAATCAAACGAATGCAGCGCCGTAGTCTTATTAAGTTCAGTACTGCAAAGAAGATTATTACGCGCATGCGAGTGAAAATTGAAATTAAAACATTTAAAAATTATGAATTCCCTATATACATACATATAGGCTTAAAAATTCCATAAGCGGATAAAATCTCGTTATTATATAGCTTCTTTATAATTGAGTGGTTTACATATTTACATTAATTCCTATATGTGTTCATCACCTCGTGGTACATATGTATGTATGCATATGTATGTTTGTGGCTTATTCCAGGCCGAATCGTCTATAGAAAATACACATATATGATTAATCTTGAAAAGACCAAAAATTAAAAACTTTTCACGAAAAAATCAAATTATAGCTTTCCACCTATACGTATAGCTCTAAAGAAATTAAAAACAAAAAAAAACGAAATTTTCTTCTATCAGAATTCCTTAACGGGCTATCTGCGATTTTTAAGAAAAATCGGAAGAAATATTTTTCATTATTTCGGTTGCTGGAAAAAGTACTTTGACTATTGCTGTAAATTTTTTTAAGAAATAAATATAAAATGATTTTTTCTTGTGAGTTTTAACTTATACAACAATTTTTGATAAAAGAAAATTTCTTTTCCATTTCTTGTGCGCCATTTTATATGAATTTTTACTTATTCGTGAGAGCAGCAGACAGGCCTTAAATCAATTTACAGCTCTCAAGAAAAAAATGCTGCTATACATATTTATTTCTTCAAGAAAATTTACAGCAACATTAGTTTTTTTAAGCAACAGAAATTATGAAAAATATTTCTAGTAATTTTTCGTGAGAGCCGTAAAGTAAGGTTTAGGAATATTGGACAAAATGTAAGAAACAGTGAGCCGTATGAATAAAATTTAATCAAACGCTTTTTCTTAAAATTTCAGACCTTTTACTCGATTCGTTCAAATAAATTTAAGTGAAACGTATGAAATTTTAGAAAAAAAAAGCAATTTCTTAGTTTTTATGCATACGGCCCAGTATTTGCAAAATTAAGCTTCTGCCATTTTTCATACAAAATACAGTGAAGGCCACTTAAATAGCGTCCTCTTTAAATCCTCAGTATTGGCAGTTTTCTTTTTGTGCTTGTTGGCTCTCTTGGCTTTTGTGACCTATTAAAAATGCTATAATTTGCTGTTTATTTTGTCTGTCCGGGATTACTTCACATTGTGCACGAATGTGGTCTAGTGATATTTAGTATTAAGCAAGGCGTGAAGGTAAATCAACTAACCTACCGTGAAAAGATTTTTTAAGGCCGCTTTATTACCTTGCTCCCGAAAACAATTCGGTAGAAATTATTTTACGTTTCAACAAGACCCGGTATCGTCGCACAAAGCTCGCGAAATCCAACGTTTTTTTAGAAAAAATCTTCCCAGCTTCATTACTTCGCCACAATGGCCACCATATTCACCGGACTTAAACCCAATAGATTTTGCCACGTAGTCCATTCTCGCGACCAAAATAGCAAATAAAATATATGAACCTGTCAACGCCTTGCAGCTTGCTCTTCGTCACCACTGGGACGAAAGACCGCCAGACCACATTTGAACAATAAAACTAGACTAAACTATAGCATTTTTTATTGGTAACACTTCGAGCGCCTACAATTCTTATTTAAGTGGTTACACCATACCCTTAAGAATATTTTGAGCGCTTTCCCATTTCGAAATTCAAACTTATGGGTAGCAGTTGGAAGTGGGAGTGGGAGAAGGGTAGTACATTTCTTCTTTTGTGTGTTTTTTTTTTAATTACTTTTTTCAAAGATCGATTTGGCTGAAATTTTTACCACAAATTCTTTATAACATTGTTTAGTTTTGTTTGGATGTCCCGTTATTAAGTTATGAATACTTAACTAAACATCTTTATCAGAAATTAGAAATTTTTCTTCAAACCGCTGGCATTTTTGCAAAAAAAAATTAAAGATTATTTTTTTTTCTACGTATTGCCATAGCTACTACCATCATAAATAAGAAATAATTTTTTTTTTTTAATTTTCAGAAGATGCTCGATTCAGAAATTTTGTACGCCATCTTAAAAAGAGTGCGCTTATGGATAACTCATATCTCCGTCATTTTATAATTTTTTGGAAATTATTCTTAGATATGTGACATCTCTGAAATAGTTTTTTTTTTCTTTAGAAATTTCATATCTGCGTCAGAAAAAAAAATTTACCAACTTTTTAGACCGTCAGAATGGTGTAACCCCCTAATTTTTAAGAAAATCCTTTTTCGTGTTTTTCAACCTAGAGTGGAAGTATATATAGAAATTACAAAATTTTCAATTATTTTGCTTAGCCCGTACTTGCGGGCAAAACTTAAAAATCTTCACAACATTAATTTAACTAAATTTTCAATGTTGGCTAACATTTATAAATCCTTAAAACAACATTTTGTTCTTGGATCACGCCATATGTATGTTTCATGTGTAGCATTCACCAGTCACGAAAAAAGTTCCAAGGAACTGCCTTTGACATAGGCTTTCTGTGACAGATGTAAGTATGAACATTTGTTCATAAACTCACACACGCTTAGGCGCTAACATTAAGTGTGGTAGTAAATGCATAAGAAAAAAGAAAAAAACAAAACAATTTTACAAAATCCGTCAGCATAGCGTACATAAATGTATACTTAAGGCCATTAGGTAATTGCAATAGTCCTTTGAGCTTTTATACAACTTGCATATATGTGCGAAAATCTGGGCAGTTGGCGCTGCTTTCTGCAACTAAAACCAAAAAAAAAAAAAAAAAACAATAGCATAAGCACAAAAAAAAACTATTTAAGAAAATGTAACACAAAAGGAAGCACACACTCATACAAACGTTTAAAAAATGATTGGACTAAGTAAAAAAACTGGCAATTGAAAGTAAAATTAAAGAGCAAAGAAGCGCAGAATAATACAGCAGTGCATGAAACAAACGGCATTCAGGATGCGAAAAAATACTATGAAGACAAAAAAAAAAATTATAATTATAGCTAACAGTGATTAAAACTAATTAGCGCTCTAATTTAAAGGAAATATGAGGGATATTATTTAGCAGTTAAGGTTTGGTACGTGAAAAATTACCAAAAGTTAAAAAATTCACAAGAAAGCGGCGAAATACATATGTACATACATATGTATGTACATTAGACTGCATCACTCCCCGTACAAAAAAAAATCGGTACTATTTTTCCATTGGAATTATAAAATCTATTATATTTTAAGACGTCCACCAAAATATTTCGGAAAAATATTAAGATATAAGTGAGCTGGACCGATTTGAAAATACCTCCAAAAATGGAGTGTTTTATGAATAAAAATAGTTTCTTAAAGATTTTTTTTGAAAAAATCCCCTCAAATGACAAAACGGTTTAAGCTTAAAATATTTGCATAAAAATATTTAAAAAAAATTTTAAGAAAATTTGAACGGAATCGTAATGATGAGATTTTTGATGCTGTTTTTTAACTTTTTTCAAAGGTTGGTAGAGGAAAAACTTGAATAACTGAACCTAAACTCTTCTACTTCTTCATTGAAGCGTCAGTCGCGCTGTTTGTAACCTTTATTATAAATCTTTTTGTTGTGGCGGTCTTTGCCCATGGCATGTATGGTAAAACCAATCAGGACGTGCTTGATGTCTGCGTTAATCAAAGCATGTACGAGGATGCGAAAGCTTCGTTTGCGGATAATAATAATAACACAGATCTCATTGATGCTGATATCTACAAAGGTGGCCTATTCTTGGGTTGCACTTTCGGCGCAGTGGCAATGTATATTTGGGGTGTTGGCATTTTGGCGGCAGGTCAGAGTTCCACCATGACTGGCACATATGCGGGACAGTTTTCAATGGAAGGGTTCTTGAATCTGCAATGGCCACGTTGGCGACGTGCACTTTTTACGCGGCTAATTGCAGTTATACCCACTTTTTGTTTGGCATTATTCACTCGCATGGAGGACTTGACACATCTCAATGATATACTGAACGCTGTGATGTCGTTGCAATTGCCTTTTGCTGCTATACCAACGATAGCATTCACCTCATGTGCGGCCATAATGGGTGAATTTGTGAATGGAATCACCAACAAGGTCATCTCTATACTTTTAACAATAGTCGTGATAACGGTTGTTGTACAAGTACAAACGGCGTCCTTGGAAGGTGGCTTTGTAGCATTAGTTTGTATAGTTGCCATTTTATATTTGCTTTTTAACCTTTACCTTGTGATACACATGATTGCGTGCATGGGCAATCGAAGGTTCGTGGATAATCGGTGGGTCCAGTGATTTGTGCTACCCAGCCAGAACAGCTTTACGATAAAGAACGTCAACTCAACCTATGCAAGAATTTCACCGAACGGTGATCAGGAAGTAGATGTTCCCTTCGGCGAAGAAGAAGATGCATAGTCACTACTATTCGATATTGATTCTGAGGACAGCGATGACTGCGACGACACTTATTTTTAGGAGTCATAACAACAACAAAGCGCATAACCATGACTGTTCCAGCATTATCGGCTAGCATCTTAGAAACACCTGCTGCTGCTTTGATGGTTCCAATATTTTCACCCACATGCAACAACTACTACTACTACTAATGTTAGCTACAGTTATGCCAAAGTAACAATCATACATACAAAGTGACAACAGCCACATTACGTAGACTTAAGAGATGTCATTGGAAAGGTATTTTCTCACCCTTTTTATTTCTTTGCTAATAAACTCATTCAAAGGATGGAAGAGAAAGGTAGGATGAAAGAACATCATTCAAAGTTGAATTAAGATGTCTTGGTATTCGAAAAAAAAAACAAGATGGGACACGAATGACGTTTTTTGGCCAGAAATAAAAATAGTGTGAAAATACCTTTCTACTGAGATCCCATAATTCTAATTCAGAATAGTTTTGGCCCAGTTATTCAAGTTTTTCGTAAAACAATCTTTGAAAAAGGAAAAAAACAGCATGAAAAATCTCATTCTTTCGATTCCGTTGAAAATATTTTTATATTATATAATTTGTCATCTGATGCGATCTTTTTCAAAAAGTTCTTTAAGAAACTATTTTTATTCATAAAAAACTTAATTTTTGGAGGTATTTTCAAATCGGTCCAGCTCGCTTAAATCTTAATATTTTTCCGAAATATTTTGGTGAACGTCTAAAAATATAATAAATTTTGTAATCCCGGCGGAAAAACCGCAGGTGATGCAGTCTAATGTACATATGTGGAGCGCTGCAATACATAAATAGACTTGTACCAGTGGAAAGTTAATTGCGCTACGTGCAGGAGTTAATAAACAAAAGCAATTTACAGCACACTACATAAATAAAAGAAATAAAATGAAAATACATGAACTGTAAAATATTCATTAAATTTACAATGCATACTAAACAAAATACCGCTAATCGTACACATGCAAACATAGCAGTTAACACTCATACACACACTAAACATAAAGTATTACAAGCTTTAGATGTGCACGCATTTGCAAGGAAAATAAAATAAACTCGCGCAATTGTTCCAATTGTAAAAAAAAAAAAAAAAAAAATTAGAATTAAAGAAGTATATTAATTAGTCTAACGAATCTAGCATGATAAGCCACATACACCATACAATTTACATAAATACTTATGTAAGTAGCAGCAATAAAAAAACGAATGCCTATTTAATTGTGCTGCATACCTGACCATCTATATCTATCTATGGTTCAATTGCTTACTGGCTGCTAATACAGTTGCATTTACTAGCGTAAATTTGAAAACAACCACAAAAATACTCAAATGCATAGAATACAGGAAACTTGGAATAATATAGATAAATTTGAATAAGAAATGCAAATTTTTGTGACAATGCAAATTTCAACACTCATAAAAACGCACAGGGTTGCCAGGGCAGGGTTGCCAGATCAGTAAACTAAAAAAAAAAATCTAGTACTTTTAGTTTGGCGAGGTATGTAAGGGGGAGGGAGAAGAGGTTTGTGTTTGTGTGTGTCAACAAAAATATAGAGAATAAAAAGAAAGATATATAAGTAGATACTTTTAAGGTCTATAACTGTTCTTTTTTTTACTTTCGTTTTTTAGAGTGTATTTCTCTCTTCTGACATAACCTTTATTTATTTTTGTTTCTTAAAAAGTAAATTTTTTAGACTACCAAAAATGAGTAAAATAAATAGTTTAAAGTTTTGTCTGTCCATTTCGTGCTGCGATTTTTAGCGTTTTCTCAGAAAATGGCTTTTTTGCAGAAAGAATTTATTGCGTTTACCATTAGGGGGAAGAACTCATTAAAGAGAAGAAGCAAGAGGCTTTTTTTTTCAATTTAGCTGCTGCAAGGGCTGCTCCTTTTAACTTTTCAGCGGATGAATTGGGAAATTGAGAGTTTTCAGGTTTGCAAGTGAAATCAGTATAATACGCCAATATTTTTTAAAATTAGCCACTGCATAATTTCGTGTTACAATTAAGTGGCATTTTTTTTCTTTAGTATAAATATTTAGAAAAAAACTACATTCATACTTTTTCAATAAAATCACAAATTCAAAAGTGACAACTTTTGACCATTCTTTCGTCAAGGTTTAAGAGTTTTGTTTGCAACAATGTGAGAAAATGGTTGCCTATCAATTAAAACTTGCTTGGTCAAAATTCATTTTGGCCACAAAAATGGGCCAAAAAACCCATAGTGCAGTGGTTGGATGCGAAGTGCTTATAAGAGGGGTCAGATTTGAATTACCCGAATGCCGAACTATAAAAACTACTTTTAATAGTTAGTCGGTCAAGCTCCTTGTGGAAAAGAGAACTGTATACTTCATACGGTTTTTTTATGTGGATTTGAATTTATGCGGCATTTCAAACAATTTTTTCGCTGTAGCCGTTTTGCTCTTTTGAGAGTTTTTATTTTTTTCGGTGTGTAAGAGACAATGCTTGTGATAAATAATTGATCTTTGCATTCTTATATAATTCATGTATTTTTGTGGTATTTTTTTTGTTTTTGGTTAAAATACAGATACAATTTTATTTATTTCATTAATGTTCAGTTTTACATGGAATAATAATAATAATTGTTGAAGTGAAGAAATAAATTGTTTTTCTTTTTCTTTTTTTGGCTTAATATTGCCTCACGGGATGTTTTGTATGCGGTTTTTAGAATTTTTTACATAGAGTATCTGAATTTATGCGGTTTTTGAAAATGCTGGAACGCATCCCCTGTTTTTATATGAAAGTAAAAAACTTTTTTATGCGGCTTTCTGAGGAACGCATGTACCACATAAAAAAAGACCTAAGTGTATTTGAGGTTTTCTTTGTCACTTTTTAAAATTAGTTGTTCTACCATTTCAGGCAATAAAATCATAAATATCTTCTTTCTTCTTCTTCTTCTTTCTTTATTAATATACAAATATATATATGTATGTATATATTTAAAGCTGCCAAAGTAACGCCGAGTTCCACAAAACGATAATGCAACAATTTATAAACATCCACATATGTATGTATGTATGTATGTAAGTATTAAGGTATGTTTTGTATGTGCTATTAAAGCTTGCGTTTAAACCTATGCACGTAGCCTGTCTGCCTTTTAAAAAGCAATTCAATGCTGGCATAGACAGTTGCTTTTTTCGCCAAAAACAATTTTTTTAAGTATTTAGTAAAAAACATAAGAAAAAACTATGTATGCCACAGTTCAATGTCCTTGCCACAAAAAAAGAACAAATACAAAAGAACCTTATGTAAAAAAAATATTTATGTATAAAAAACTGCAGGTAATAATTTATTTCAACACTTAATCTTTATGGTGTACATATTAATAATATAAACAACAACAAACACTGCTCGCCGCTCTGTGTTTATTGAGAAAAAATTAATCAAATATGTTGAATTATAAATAAAAATTATTGAATTTAAGTGTAGAGCTAAAAAAAAAAGAGAATTTGTAATAAAAAGGAAATAGTTAAGACTCAATGATTAACTATAGATTTTATGAGCATTGGTATTGCAATAAATTAAATAAAAGTGCAATTTCCACGTATTTATGTTAAATATTACAATTATTTTTATATATAAATATAAAAAGACTATAAGGTACGATTTATTGAAATTATTACTTTATATAAAAATTAAATATGAATGAAATAAAGACAAAACCCGTTAGAACAACTACAAATATGTACATTCAAATAAAACCAGCAATTGCTACAAGTGCTTACATTCATTACAGATTACACTAATTATAAATAATTTCCAATATGTATATGTACGTAAGAATATATATACGCATGTGTGCACTGCAAATGCGGCTATAAAAAACAACATTTTCAACGATGCAACAACACAAAAGAACCCGTGAACTCAAAACATGAACTACATATGTATGTACATACCTACATATATACAATTGCAATGCATGTATGCAAAAACTAAAAATATTCATGTAAGTATGTGTGTATGTATGTATATGTTAACATTAATTGCAAACAAAAAAAAAAAAGTTCAGCATAAAACTACAGCGAAAAAATCGTGCTTACTTAAGTGTTGACTTATCGTAGCGACTGTGTAAGTGAGAAAGATGCGAGTAAAAACAAATTTAAGCAAAACCTAAACGACGTTAAGCTATTTAGTATAAAAATTAAACAAAAATTAGGTTAATAGTTAAGCTTTTGATGAGCAGAAAATGACGATGAAAAAGCTGAAGTTGGGGATAATTATTATTACTATTACTGTATACAAAAATACATACATATATGTATAATTAACAAGTGAATATATTATATATGTAATACTTACAAAATATTTAGTAAAAATAAATTTATTTTTACCTTTCTCATTTTAAGTTCATTTTTATGTTGGCATATAAGAAAATAAAAAAAAATATAAATAAAGCAAAACAAGTTATGATGAAAGTTGAAGCAAAATGTTTTTATTTCCAGATGAAAATCAGAATTAAAGTTCAAACTCAAATTAAGCGGTAAGTACTAGTGATGTAAATTTTCGATACTTTCAAGTATCGATCGATGCGCGATGCTTTGGCAACAAGTATCGAATAAAAGTATTCGATACTCGATATTTTTACATTATTCCGTTAAAAATTCCTTATACTAAAATCGTAAATTCTTTCCGGCACGCGAGCAGATCTCGATGTCTCAACAAAAAATCTTCTTGAATACATTGATTGCCCTCGACTATAACATACGCTAAACAATTTTGTGAGCCTACTGAGATTTTTGAACAAAGTCGCTCCAAAGAGAATTGCCGTTTTTTTGATCCACGTTGCGCTCCGGTAAATTATCATTTTGAAAGCTGGTTATACACTGCTCCTAAACCAATCTCCATTCAACCACTGTAAATTTTGCCACCTCTTACTTTGCTTTGGCGACGCTTGTTATGAAAATATATTTTAACAATGATGTTTGAGTATCGAAGTAGCGAAATAATTTTTTCAATACTCATCGAATACACAAATTGCTCAACGATATCAAATACATACTATTCGATACTCGATACTATTCACATCACCAGTAAGTACAAAGTAAGCGTTAAGCGGTGAAAGAAATGTCACAGGACAACGGCCCCAGCGATGCTCTTTCATATTTGACCGTGTGATAACGAATTTCTTCTGTTTTCAAACGGGGTCAGCACTTCGGTTGTAACGCAGGTGTTTGCGTGTTCTTGAATTTTTTTATTTAAATTTTTACTATAAAAAAAATCATTTTCTTTAACAAAATATTGACAAAATGAAATAGGAAGTTTTTGGCTAAAATCTAAAAATATTAAAACGTTTTTGGCAAAAAAAAATTAAAAATTTAAATTTTGCATTTGTCTGAATAAAAAGTCACTAAAAAATATGTATGTATTTTTTTTTTTTTGAAAATCTATACAACATTTACTAGCTGACGGTAAAAGCACGAGTATCGAGAATAGCGAGGAAATATTTCTAAAAAATTTCAAAGTTCGACTTGATTTAATTAATTTGCAAAAAACAAGGCCACATAAACTTCACCATAACGCCTCCAAACCTGCGCCAATTTAAACAAAGTTGAAGCCAAATTAAGGGGCATCACTCGGAGCGGAATACTACAGCATTATTTTTGCAAAATAGGCGCCGCATCGCTGTAATTTTGCTACAAAAGCACGATAGATAATATTTTTTACCAAAATAACAGCTCTAATTTTAGGTGTTTAGCATTGCTACTCCGTTTAAAAGCACCGCTAAGCGAGCCCCTTTCATCTGATACCCATATCGCCGCAATCGGTCCATATTTGGCAGAGTTATAACAATTTTGATATTGGACGCCCGCCTTCTGCTGAGTTATGGTCGCCTGGTACCCCAAATTTTGCTACCCGGGATATTTGCCGCGGAAAAACATGGTGTCACGCAATTCACAACACCTCCTCCAAATCGGAACCGATTTTAACAAAATTAGTGTCAATTGAAAGAGCATAGCTCGGGGCGCTGTCCCTGGGTAGCAGCTATGCCAAACGCCTAAAAGTAGGCCTTGTATTTTAGAAAAACATAGAATGTTTCTGTAGCGAAATTTCATTGGAAGAGAAATGCTTCAGGACACCGCCGGAGAGATGAGCTTTCATTTGACACAAATTTTGTTAAAATCGGTTCAGATTTGGCGGGGTTATAGCGAATTTTCTGAAACCTTGTTTTTCCGCGACAAATATTCCAGATAGCGGAAGTCGAGGTACCAGGCGACCATAACCCAGCAGAAAGAGCGTCGTCCGGCACACAAATCGTTCTAACTCAGTCAAATATGTACCGAATACAGCAATATGGGTATCAAATGAAAGAGCATCGCTTAGCGGTGATTTGCTACGCCTAAAAGCACAGCTGTTATTTCAGAAAAACCCTTCCATAGCAAACTTTTTTAGCAGAATGGCATCGATGCACTGCTTATTAAAAAAAAAAAACCATTGCTGTAAATACCGCCCCAAGTGATGATCTTGCATTTGGCTTCAAACTTGTTAAAACCCATTCAGATTCGAAGGAGGTGTAGTAAAATTTCGTTTCTATGTCCTTATTTTTAGTGAATAAAATAAATCAAGTCGAACTTTGAAAATTTTGTTTTAATATTTCCCAACAAACTAGGATATTCGTTGCTTCACCGTTAGCAAGTAGACTCCTCATAGACTTATAAACAATTTCTTATTTGTAAACCCCTTATATAATAACTTTTATCTACAAAATTGTGTAAAATTTCCGTTTTTAATATTTTTTTGGCAAACAAAAAGCGGTACAAACAGACGTGGCAGTAGCGTTTTAAAAATTTTTAATTTTAGCCACAAGCTTTCTCTTTGCATTCGTACCATTTCTCTTGAGGTAAATTAGTTTTTTATCAGAAAAATAGTAAGATTATAAAAAAATCTACAAAACGCGCATTACTACAAGCTGCTTGCAATTCGCAAAGGAAGTGTTGCACCGACAGTTTGGGAGCAAGCAGAACAAGCGCAGATAAATATCATTGCACGACAATAGGCGTTGGGCTAAATAAAAGAATAACTTCCGAAGTACAGTACGAATTGTACGAGATAATAATAAATAGCGAAGAAACCAACCTGCTGACTACCATAAGTGGTGTGGTTATTAGCTAACAGTTTGGTAAGCACTAGTTGAGTACAGGAAATAGAAAATTACAACTGAATTGATAAGATTTAGAACTCAAGTATTTCAGATGCTACCCTGCAGAAAAAAATTATCAATTGATAAAAAATAACCTACTTGTAGATAGCTTTTTTGCGGGATTTCTATATAATATATAGCTAGCCAGAAGCTACAAAAAGCTAACTTGAAACAAGTGGACAAGTAGTGCAGGAGTAAAGCTCGAGATTGTTTTCTTTAAACGCGTTTCTATTTAAATATCCTGCACTTCGCAAATACTTTTTCGAAGTGAGGACAAATAAATGGAAGATCGAAATTTCATATTATCGTTTTGAAGTTATGTCTGACCGAGTTCGAATATGGGACCACCTACAGCAGAATATGTAAACAAATATGAAATGTAATAAAATAAAATAAATAAATAAAAAAAGAAAAAATAAATATATTTTGTTTTTCCTATTGATATTTAATGCCCAAAAGTAGTTAGTTACAAGTTAGTTACATCAAATGCAGAGGTAACCACCCTTGACTATTTAGCGGCCATCGCCATAGAAATATAGTTAGCTTTCGTCAAAGAAAATATACAGATAATAAGTGAATTATAGCTCCTTCCTAATCAACTTAAGTTTAGCTTATAGTTAGATACATTTCCTGCAGGGTATACTCACCTTCATGTTGCCATATACATATACACACATACTAATATATAAAACCACAGTAGCCATATTCACCTATATCTATGCATAAAGGTTCGCCGGCGCTGCCATATTCATAATTGTAAAATTGATTGTAAATATTTAGTACAAAAACCGTAAAATATGTAAAATAAATTTAATAGTTGCAGAGTTTAATGCAAAATAAGGCGTCCATACATTTTTTCTTAATTCTGTCATCTTTCTATTTTTTTTTGCAATTGCTACAGGCGGAGACCCTTAAATAATTTGCTTTATAGTTATTATTATTATAGTTGTTGAAAATAGAGACATTTAAAAGGCTGTAAATAGTGATAAAATATTTTAATATTTCTTTCGAATTGTAACTATTTTCTCTTTGACAAAAACTTATTTTACAGTTTTGTCGACATACATACGCTATTTGTCTTGTCCATGAAAGATAGACTTAAGTTGTTTGGTCAAATTTCCACAGATATGTATGTACATACTTTTCAATTACATCAGTAGACTTACAGCCGCATTTTAATTACACAGATCTACTATTTACATACATATGTATATACATAAATGCATCTGTATGTATATACCCTCATTTAGCTTCTATTAAATATCCTATAGAACGCTAATTCATTCGCTAAAATTGCTCGCATTTCACCAGCAATCCAAATTTTGAAAGGTAACATTTTCATCGAGGAAGAAATTAGATAAAGTGGATGTTGGTTTGCTATTTTCCGCCCGCTGATGATTGTCTGAATTAATTAACTGCATCGAAATGCATCCAGTTCTGCTTTCCGTTAAGCTGTTTGTTCAAGCGAAGCCATTGAATTTTAACTGCACCCAGTTTTGTGTTCAGTGATCAAATTATTTTCTGCGTCGAATTTTGCTATTCCCTTGTTGTTGTTTTATCATTTTGCGCGATAAACGATTTGTGGCAAGGTCCCATCGCAGCACACTATTAATTGTCTTTGCTTGCTATTGACCGTCACTTATGTCGATTGCATTTGATGATTTAGGCAGTAGGTTGGGTTAATCGTTCTGTTCAAATACACATTATAAGGGTGATCTCCAATGTCTGAAATGTGAAGATAAATTAGGCATGTAATAAAATGATTTAGATACCATCAAATTGTGTTTGCACATTATATAAGAAATTAGTATATTAGATTTTCTCAAAGAAGGAATATTTTGAGAGAAAAATAAAAATTAAATAATATTATTAGTAAAAATTTAGATACCATCAAATTGTGCTTGCACATTATATAAGAAATTAGTATATTAGATTTTCTCAAAGAAGGAATATTTTGAGAGAAAAACAAAAATTGAATAATATTATTAGTAAAAATTTACATTGCTATGTACTACATTAGGGTGCCTCGCCAAAAAAAAGTTACGCTTTTTCGGCAATATATTAAGATTTATGAGAGCTGGATCGATTTGGATATACCTCAAAAAATCTCATTATTTTGATTCCACTGATACAATTTATTAAAATTTCTATGCAGACCATTTATGCCATGATTGGCTCTCAGACTAATGGGGGCCATGCAAATGGTTGCTATATCTTCAATATTCGGTTACACCTACATTCCGTAAAACATTTTTTTTTTTATAGTTCTACTTGAATAATCATTAATGTACTGGCATTAGGGTGGTATTTTAGGGTGATAAGAACTGTGGTTTTGTGAGTAAGTACTAGAACGTGGTACATACTTCAAATAAATGAACTTTAGAGCAAAAAATTGTCTCATGAAGACAAAAAAAATATCGATATACTCGTACCATATTTTAAAATCCGATATGACGAAACATTTTATAAGGCGATCCCTACGTTCAGCAAAAAAAAGAAAAAATGAATTGACTCATATCTAAATACTTCCATAGCAAAAGTTTAAAGGTTGAAGTTACTGATATTAGGGTGATAAGAACTGATGTATGGTGGGTAAGTACTAGAACCGGGTACTTGAGGTCAATGAATAATGGAACAAAAAAGAAAAACCGATATATCATACTTTTAGATCCGACTTTAAATACCAAAGATATGACAAAAAATATAAAAGACGGTAATTAAAAATTGTTTTTCTAAAATTGCATTGCAAAAAAACTTCAGTCGCAGGGATGAAGGGCTAATTTAATGTACAAATAAGTACAATATATATAGATACATGTGTATGTATGTAGGTAGATTAAGGCGTATCACGAAAAAAGTTCGGCGTCAGTTTTATTTAAACACTTACATCGAGAGAAAATTTTGGTTATAAAAAGAACTTTTTTAGGCACCCGTTAAAACCCGCTTCATCGCGTTTTTCTTTCGCGTATAACTTTCTTAATTGCTATACGAATTTTTTTATTATTTTTTTTATTTTTATGTCACCGAAAAGGCCTCGCTCAGGACTATAATAAAGCCTAACACTTTTCACCAAGGTCGTTATCATTTTTTGAGAGCTTTAGTTTTATATTATAAAATTAAAAATTTAGGGATAGTAATACCAAAATTACTGAAGATATAAATTAAAACGGTTTTGAAAGCCAAAATTGTTTAATGGCCAATTATAGTTCTTAGCGTCAGCTTTTCAACGACATGAAGATTTAAAAAATCGGATATAAAATAAGAAAGTTAGAGAAAATAATGCGATTTTGCGGTTTTTAACGAGTGCCTACAGAAAATTTTTTTACACTCAAAATTTTCTCTCGTCATAAGTAATTAAGTAAAGCTGACATGCGCTAAACTTTTTTTTCTTTCATTTGTCGTGATACGGCTTAATGTACATATCGTCGTTCTGCAAAACCGCGTTACTGACATTTTTTGCCAAAAATTGGACTTGCTCACAGAAGCTCTTGGCTAAAGCCTTATCCATTCATTCTGAAACAGGGATGAAAATGGAAATTTCAGATTGTACCTAATATCATAAAATAAATGTACCTAAATGAGACAGATTGTCCCTAAAAAAAGTTACATCATTCATTTGTAGTTTTTTCTTATAAATTTTGTTTAAAACATGAATACAAAGAATGGATGTACTTTAATTATAATAATATAATAATTGATTAGGTTTTTTTTTAACTGTGCCTATATCTATAGATTGTAGTCTAATGGAAATCGGAGAAGCGTTGTTTTTGTCTAATTTTGACTACTGAAAAATATTGGCGAAAAAGACAAAAAACACACTTTGCGAAGTATACTTCTTTATCCAGCAACAACACGCAAAGTCTGCTAATTTATCCGATTCCTTTTTAATAGGTGCAACAAGTCTAGATAAAATCTGTGTTCGTATGGAAAAGTCGCTTATGTCGAAAGGCTGGCTTTAGTATAATGCGGCATTCCCTTTATTCTTTAAACGACAATAAATTTTTTGCAGAGACTTAATAAGAATATTGACTTGCTAGTATCGGAACTATTTATTGCACGTTTATTTGCCAAAAGTTGTTCAACGGCTCAGCGCCAGTGAGCTATTCGCAATCCTATGCTGCGAATGCCGATTTATACTAAAGCCTGCCTTTCGACATAAGCTACTTTTCCATACGAACACAGATATATTCAAATTGCCGTAAGTAACATCGAAAGCATTTTAAATATATTTCCAGAAATCAAAAAGCGAATATGGGTCAATAATAATAATTGTACCTAAAATCTACTGACTGTACCGAATGTACCTTTAAGTCATCAAACGTCGGAAAAAGGTACAATTGTACCTACTTTTTCATCCCTGCTCTGAAATATACTAGCCAGAAATGCGATTGCTTTATAAAAAAGATAACCATTTTGAAATATGAGTATTTTTGCTCTCTAGAAAATAAGTTATGCAACCTCACATAGCGGCTTTGCATTTTGTTGATACACGGTTTTGTTCTTTAAACGACGATATGCATGTACCTATGTAAGTATCTTTTCACTCCTGCTATTTGTGTTCATTTCGAATAGTTTAGGCTATTTCAATGCTTCATTGCTTTGACGTAGTCAAATGCAGCCGATCGCTGTCGCATTACAAATACCGCCATTTGCATACATACATACATATGTATGTACATATGCACATACATTAGAATGGATCACCAAAAAAGTTACTGTTTTTTCAACGGAATTATAAAATTCATTCAGCCTTATCATGAGTTTAATTTTCCCCGAACCGGTTCCCTTTTCACTCTTAGTTTCCATGGTTTTACTCTGGGCGGATGACAAATTTTCGGTTGAACTTTTTTTTCAGGCGAAACTCAAGATAAGGCAGATTATATTTGAAGACTGACGCAAAATTATTTCCGAAAAATATTAAGTTTAACATGAGCTAAATCGATTTGAAAACCCTAAAGAAAACTCTCATTTTGATGCCGTTGATGACATATTTCTGCATTTTCATACAGACCTTGTAAACCTAAACTCTTCTATCACCTGAGATGATTTTTTGGAAAGAAATATTTTTTTGAAACCTAATGTTATTTACAAAAAAAAACGATTTTTTTAGGTATTTTTAAATGGCCCAGCTCACGAATATCTTAATCTGCCTTATCTTGAGTTTCGCACGAAAAAAAATTCACCCGAAAATTCTTATTCCGCCCATAGTAAATACATGGAATCAAAAAGTGAAAAGTGAACCGGTTCGGGAAAAATTAAACTCATAATAAGGCGGAATATTTTCCCGAAATATTTTGGCGGCTGCCTTACTATATAATAAATGTTATAATTCAGATGGAAAAACGGCAGAGAATGATGCACCCTAATGTATTTACGTTCATATTTCTGTAGATATATACGTACATATGTTTCTCTATTTAGATAATCATGATTAGACGGCAATTTGCATTTGTTCGCCGCGCTTTTATCGCTACATTTTTGGTTGCAAAGTTTGCGCTATCCCTGGTGCTACATTCAGCTAAAAATCGAATGGCCGAACAACTGATCTCGACAAGCACAGCATCCATCACTCGCTTGCCTAGCTATATGTACACGCGTATGAATGTGCATATGCACATAGCGCAATGAAACTGCGGCAATATAAATTTTCCACAATACAATCTGGCGTTGCATCGACGTCACAGTTGCCGCTACCGCCACCGCTGACCGTTGACCGTGCTCCGCATTTCATCAGCTCACTTGTGTGGCAACAGCTGCGGCACAGTGGACTTGAGGCACACAGGAAATCGTCGATTGACTTGCATGCGCGAGCACAAAGAAAAAGCGCGGACTAATACCAAATGTGTTACACATGCATACATACATACATACACTCGCACTCACATAGGCACACACACACACACACACACACACGCAAAATGAGCATTCGACGAGCTCAATTGTATGGTACAATTGGTGATCTAAGAGCTCTACGCCTACACGATTGACTGAGTAAATATTAAATTTTGCTTACCCCGCTATAGCTGGCGATTAGCCTCTGCCAGCTGTCTGGCTTCCTAGACGTATGAGCAACATCCCACCGTAGTCATACGGTACTCGTTCGTGCCTTGCCTTGTCTCGCCCGCTCTTCTCTGAAAGTCATCTGCCGGCGTATAGTTGGCGCAATCAAAGCTGTCTAGCTCTTCTAGCTGAAAATCACATTTGCCTCGATTCCAATCGATTGACTTTGTTTTGATTTGATTGAGCATTTCCCTTTCTTTTGTCTAATCTAGCCTTTGTTTTTACTCTTATGTAGTTTTGTTGTTGAAAACTGTGAGAAATGTAATGGCTTTTGTGATTTGTATTTAATTTAGTATTCCCCATTTGATTGCACAAATCATTTCAAACGGTCCAACATGGATTGTCGCGTCAAACGTGCCTGGGTGTGAGAAAATATTATATTATTTAGTAAAATAATTTTTCGCCATAAAAAATAGTTTTCACAATAAAAATTAGATTTAGTAACAAGTTGATATAAGCACTAAATANGAAAACTATATAAATTGCATCTCTATTACTCTTAATGCGATCAAAATAGACGGAAAACCGCTTATCATTGTTTCCACGTATCGATCGCAAAAGTGTGCTGAGAATATATTTATTAAATTTATCGATAACTTGTTGTCAACTAACGCAAACGGAGCTGCGGTTTTTTTGGGTGACTCAAGCGTTGATTTATTAACAGAAAACCCCTCCAGTCGGTCTTTAAGTAGTTTGTTTAGTATGTATGGACTGTACAGTTGCCATACATTAGTTACTCGTCGGGCAAGCGGGGTGTCAATAGATAATGTTTTCTGTAACTTAAACAAAAAACCTTCAATTGATTCTATCGAATGTGCATTGTCAGATCATAATTTATTAATTTGCAAAATTTTTCATGAGCATCGGGAAAATTGTTTTCTTGAGAAAGTTTTCTACCGCGTTGACTATGATAGCGTAAGAAACCAATTGGATGAAAAGTTTAAAATGTATGAAAGAGTTGACCAGTCAAACTTATCAGATGTGATTGTAGAGGACATTTCAGGTGCGGTGGAACTATCTACGAAAAAAATAGAACATAAATCCCTTCTACGCTATGAAATAGCACCTTGGATAAACAATAATATACAAGCTCTACTAGAGCTAAAAAAGAAACTTCTGAAACTTAGGAAAAAGGCTGGTTACGATAAAGGTGTTTGCGAAAGGTTAAAGAGAATAAGCAGGGTCATAAAAAATGCAACAAGATTGTCGATGAACAATTATTATTCTTCAAATCTTAAAAAGTTTGGCTCAGATCCAAAACGGACATGGAGCTTCATTAACACTATTCTTGGCAGGAAAAAGAAAGCTTCTATCGAATTTAAAGGCCAGGATGATACCCCACTTACAAATGATTTAGAAAAAGCTAAATTTCTAAATGATTTTTTCCTAGAGTCTGTAAATAAACTACGGAATAGCATTGAAGTCCACTCTGATGATGGATGTTGTATGTTTCGGGTTTCTACCAAGGTTCAAAATAATTTTATTTTAAATGAAGTTAACACACATGATATGGAAATTGCTTTATCTAACATTGAAATAAATAAAGGTTGCGGACACGACAACATTCCGCCAAAAGCTCTTTATTTAACAAGAGATCTGATATCACCCTTCTTGGCGAGGGTTTTTAATAATATGATCAGAAATTCCACTTATCCAGAAATCCTTAAAATTCACAAAGTTATACCAATTCCCAAAGTTACTCACACCAAGAAAGCTGAAGATTTTAGGCCGATAGCTGTCTTGCCTATTATAGATAAAGTTTTTGAGAAACTCATATATGACCAACTAGTACACTTTTTAGAATCCGAAAAGGTGATGTATCCTTATCAATTTGGTTATAAATGGGGTTGTGGCACTGAAGAAGCGGTGGTCAACGTTGTCAATGTTGGACAAAATCAAGCAAGTATGTCGAAGGTGACGAGATCAAAGAAGTTGACTCAGTCAAATATTTAGGAGTACATCTTTCCCGGAATTTATGCTGGGGTGTCCATATTGATTCTATAAAATCAAAAATATCTCCCGCTATTGGGATTCTTTATAGATTTAAGAACAAGCTAACGAAAGAAGTTAAGTTGTCCTTATACCAATCACTAATTCATAGTCATTTAACTTATCTTCCGATAGTGTATGCCCATAAAGTAACCAATGAACTTAGGTCCCTGCAGTCATGTCAAAATACTGCATTAAAACTTGCATTCAACCTATTAAGAAGGCATTCCACGTTAAGTGTTTTCCAAGAGTATGCTAAGTCAATACTGCCAGTCTTTGGCTTATATAAAAAGCAAGTATTGGTTATCATGTTTTGAAGTTTTATAGAAACCAATCAATGTTTGAAACACGAAATAGTGAACTGCTTAGAGTAACTAGATGCCGGCTAGAGGTATCGAAGCAAAGAATAGAATATGCCGGACCTAACCAATTTAATAAATTACCTAACTCCATTAAAACACTGGAACGTGTATCGCTTTTCAAAACCGAATTAAAAAGCTATCTTCTGGAAAGTATGGAATCGCTTCTTATGTAAAATGTTAAGTATATAATTCTCAATTGTAAACTTTTTATGTAATTTTTTTCTCCCTAAACTCCTTGTATGATCAGTTGTCAGATATCCTCTTTTTAGCCATTTGGCGGAGAGGAACATTAATATGTACTTTGATTTTTTTGGAAATAAATTAATAACTAAGTAAAAAAAAAAATATATATATATATAAAAAGAGAAATGTTGTGTTCGGAATAAAGGTATAGTGGAAAATATTCTCGAGCACCAATGACTCGTCTTCCTAGAAAACATCCTAGGAATAACTGTAAGTCTTTATTTATAAATTCTTAAACCTTCTTAGTCCGAAAAACAGTACCATGTCAAAACATATTTTACATATTTTGTTACCAAATTCGGTAGAACAAACAAACACAAACAGACGAAATCAGTAAAGAAATCCTTCACTCCCATTATCCCAGTAAAATTTACCCAATTAAAAATTAAATTTTGAAAATCTTACAAATGTTACTTTGAGAATTATAGCGTCCGGAGAACAACATTGGCTATTGGATCAGCCTTATTAGTCTGACCATAAAATATGTCCTTTGCTATATATACGGTCACTTTTCACTAAAAAAGGTTCGACGATCTGCCAGTTTAAAGATCGATGTAAATTCTGGAAAGATCGACAATTTAAAATTTTAAAAATCTAGAAAAACTAATTCACATCTAACACCGCTAGCACCTTATTGAACTAGGTTGTCATAAACAAGTTCTGCTCTTTTTACGAACACGGAAATATAGGAATCGTTAGACCAAAGATTTTCCTGTCTGAGTAGTGGAAAACAATATTATCGCTTTTCGCTTTGCGAAGAGTCCAAAAAAAATTCGACAATTGCTTCTCTTCTTGGCAAAGTTCCGCCCTTCGTTCACCCTGAGCGCTCTGCCGCCAAAAATCATGGAGTGGACGAAACCATCATAACGTGGATTCACTTCATGATACCTAGAAGACCATTGCAGAGGTTGGCAGATGATGCCTTCACGGCGGAATGCTTCTATCTTTCTTGTTCTGGTTGGTAGTGTACTCCCTACTAATGGAAATGCGAGACTTATTTCACATCCAAGCTTACGCGAATCATCTATGTGCACTATCATCCGGCAAATCTCTCAGGGAGATGTTAGGGTGTTAGGACACAGAGAATCCTGAACAAGACTGATGAATGGTGTACTTTGCAGGGTCGGCTGTCAATCCCAGCAAAACCACCCGCGGAGCAGAAAATTGGAAGGGCCAACTTTCCAGTGCTAAGAGGCTTAAATGTAAGTCTTTCCATGGATGCGAAATGTCTAGGCGTAACTGTATATACGAAGCTGATGTGGAAAGCTCGACGTTGAAGGTAAATCGAGCGCTAAAAGTTTTTGGACAGTATCGGGGAACCTTTAGTAGGACCTGGGGTCTGAGACCGGCTATGGTATTCTGGCTATATACATAATTTTAGTCAGACCAGTCGTCACGTACTCTGTGGTCAAAAATATGGTTACTGTGTTAAACAGACAAAAACATCAGGACTGACTCTAAATGCATAGTTGGATTTGCCACCTGTGGATTTAGCGATCAATAAGGATGCAGTGAAAACGATTTGACGGCTGCACTCTTTTTGTTTATGGCACGATGATTGGAGTTTCGGGCACAGAGAGTTTCTCAGAACTTAATGACAAACTGATATCCAGGATTATGATTTGGAAGAAAGTACGTTGTTAGATTTCCTACAAGGGAACAATGGAGAGGTCCAGACACTCTCTTCGGTAGCTCGGTGAAAACTTTCTATACCGCCGGCTCAAGGACTGAAAATGGTACTGGAGCTGGGTAGCTTCAGATGCCTTACTGCTTGGTATGCAATGGCAATGGTCTTTCAATCGGAAATCTTTGCAATACTAAAAGCGACAGAGTGGAAAATTAGCGGAAGGTGGCGCGGATATAAAATCAGGATCTTCAGTGACATTCAAACTGCTCTAGAGACTTTGGACCGCTAACACCTCTGCATATACAGTCCAGGAATGTGCTTGAACTTGTGTGGGCGCCAGGACACTACGGTGCTCAAGGCGACGTACTGGCTGATGAATTGGCGAACTGCGGTTATCTGAAGCATCCAATTGGACTGGAGCCAATTTTAGGGCCAAGCATAGCAGGTACGATCGGGTACATCAAGGATCTCATAAACAAAACTCACGAGAGCCATTGGGGTGGTATTGACACCTGCAAAGAAACCAAATGTTTCCTGAAAAGGCCTGACAGGGTGGTAGCAAAATTCCTTCACAGACAAAGAAGGAGTTATCTGCGAACCCCGATAGGAATGATTATGGGGACGGCATGTAGTCAACATTGGCACCATCGACGTTCCACTGTGTCAATCTTGGTTGGAGAATAAGAATAGTATAGAACATTTTCTCTGCCACTGTATGGCTTTCACCAGACTCAGGAGTTACATTTTTGGGTCGGAGGTATTGAGACTGGACGATATATACTCTCTTTTCCTCAGCAATCTGTTAAAATCCATAAAGGAGTCTGGTAAGTTTGCATAGGCCCGATGAATTCCCACCCCACCTGTATATCGCTTTCCTCTTAATCCTGTCTCTAGGACTTAAATTCAATGGGCAATACGGCCTGAGTGCTTGGAAAAATTGTTTTTGGTTTTACCGGTCATCAACAATTCCATTCCATTTCATTCACCCCGAGGGCAGACAAGTCTTTCAGCACTTGGTTCTTCCAATAAACTTGTGGGTGCCGTAGCTTTTGTTGTCCACCCATGTGTGCCGAGTCGACGAATATTTTCACCGGACTTTCATCATTCGTACGTACGATTTATTCATGCCCCTAGCCC